GTGTGGTTTAGCAAAAAGAAGTCAGTTAATTATTCATTCATTAACTGGAAATGGTAATAATTATGCGGTAGATAATAGGAAAGTCAAATTTGCTTTCAGTAAATTTCTGAAAACTAACGAAAATCTATTTAACAACTTATATGCAAAAACACTGACAGCCAAACGTCAATCTAAGAAAGTTATTTAATTAAATTTTTTTTTTTCGTTAGATAACTTCAAAACTTTTTTTCGCTGATACATTCGTCTTGTAGAACACGAGTTTATTCAATTATTTTCTTTTTAAAGTTTTTTTTTCCGTACTGGATTTTTCACTGTTACTTGTCCAATTTATACGATTATCGAGAAAATCATACAATTTGATGTATAATAAACACAAACAATTCTAGCAACTTCATTCAAATTATGATGATTAAACTTCTTTTACATTGTAGAGGAAAAAATTAGCCTGTTTCAGAATTCCTGAAGTTTAGCATAGATCCAAAAAAAATTAGATTATTGAAATTGAAGAATTCTGAAATAAGCTAATTTTTTGTTTCTAGTTATCTGTTCGCTTAAATAATTTTCAGTTACAGCAAAGAAAGAAAAGAAATATAATTGGAATTTAAATGAAAAATTTATCGAGATTAAAATGATGAAAAAAGATTAATTATTATTAGTGAGGAGAAATATCCAATATTTTCACAAATCAGTTATGAAAATAATTTTTGTCTTTGCAAAATAAATTAATGATAAAAGTTCATAAACAGGAAGAATCACTGCTACTGTTCACGAAGATATGGTTTATATTATGAAGTGATCTCGAACAATTCCATTTTGTAGTGTTATACTGGGTCAGTCAACATATTCATGCCTTACATTTCTTGTAGCGAACATCGACCCACATTTTGGTTGTACTGTAAAGACGATAAGGTAAAATGATGGTAGTGGTGTCAAGAACTGAACAAAATGATCTCCTTTTGAAAATTAGGTCGTTCTTTTCATATACTATCGCGGACATTATTACATAATCATTCTACACATGAAAAAAAAAACGCCTTTTTTTCCTAGATATAAATTGACTTGAATGATATTTGAGGATTAGATGATCAATAACGGCTGTTCAGTGATTTAAATTTCATTTCTCAATCTATTATGCTGTGCTGGTATAATTTGAGATTATGATTTCTTTTATTAAGCAGCCATATTAGAAAGTATTACCTAAATAAGTTTAAAAATCTGACACCTGTAACGAATCTATTATTAGTTGTTGTATCTATGATCTTATAATTGTTCAAAAGTTATGCCTCGTCTAGTGAAATTGATAAATATAAGGATGAATTGAAACTCTGAATTTAATCATCAAATTGTCCCATTTTGTTTGTCCACTAATCGACTAGAATGACTTTTTGTTATTTTAAACGGCTTCAGTTTATCGAACAACTGTTTTTGCACATGGTTTATGTTTGCTCAAGTTTCCACCACATCATCATTTACCAATATATTTTATACTGAATTTTAAAAACATTTCTATGAAAAATAAATCACACATTATAAACAATAAGTCGAAAACAACAACTAAAACGATAAAACAAACATTTTTAAAATCTCACCCATTTAATAACAAAGAATTGGATTTTTCCCTATATACAGCCAAAATATTCTTACGTTACTAGAAAAAAAATAACCTAAATCGTTCAATGTTCAATAAAAATCATTTGGAGTGAGGTGTTGTGATAAAATTTTACATTTTCTCATCATTCTGAGACGTTGCTTCCAATGCTGTTCACTACATGATCAATGCGCAATGCCAACAGATCGCATAACCGCTAAAAATCCAGAAATTTAATTGAAAAATGATTAAAAACGTGAAAAAATTATTAATTTTAATGAAAATGTTCTAAAGTTACTGGACAATAGTAATCCTTGACATTGTGGTTCTCTACAGTTGTTTCTCAATTCATTCCATAGTAATCATTGTTTCAGTAAGCAAAGCATCTCAAAAATTCTGCGAAAAAATTTGAAGAAATTAAACATGTAAATTTTTTGAATCTCATGCAGATATCATACCTTTGACATATTATCATATCGTACAATAGTTTTTTCGCCTAATTCTTCATTTATATTATATGAAAATTCATCAGTTTCATCATCTTGCTTACAAGCCGGATAAAGAAGTACAATCCGATGACGTGGCCTTACGTCGCGCAGAACATTAACGAAATCATCATTCAATTTCTAAAGAAAATGTACAAATAATAATGATCCTGATATTCTAAAAGCTTCTAAAGAACTTTTTATCTTGCAACAATCTTGATTCTATTAGGAAAAGAGCTTCAAATTTTAACATGCAAGATAGTTAACATTATCAATGAATTGGCCATAAAATGAAAAGAAAAAAGATTCATTCGAAATGCTCACTTTTTGGAAATAAATAACAGCAGCAATGAAAAGAGGAATTTGTATTTTATTTTTCGAATTCATCAAAATTGTACGAAAGTGTTCGACATCATTTCGTTCAAGAGTGAAAAAAAGTTGCGCATAAGTCGGACATTCGAGCAGTAATTTCCCTGTAATTTTTCTGAGAAAGAGTTATTGCAGCACAAATTGCTCTTTTTCTACTTTAATTTATTAAATCGTTCATCTTAATTTGTTAATGATAATTTAGAGTAACCCATACACCTCTCTCTCTGTGTTCCGTTACCAGTACAAGGAAAAAGTAATAATAAATGAAACTTTATATTCAGAAATCGAAAGCAATTACGTAATAAATTAATTTTATTGCAGAATATTTAACTTAAAAATATCTTATTTCAAAGCCAAGAATGTAATAAAACAAGATTATACTAATTCTATTAAATTTATTTTTAATTTTAATCCCACCAAGTTTTTGTGTTCAACCTATTTTAACCTCACAATTATTATATGCACTTTTTAAATTTCAACCTCAATGATCATACAAATTCAAGAGTTTCGATCCCTTCATAAATTTGTAAAGTTAATGAAATTATAACATATAACACTATTAACAGAAAATGAAATAAGATTTGCCATATGGTAACTACTAAGAACAATTAGTCGATTTGTTAATAAAAACTGATGAACAAACCATAGATTTCGAGTGTAGTTGATGAATACAAAACACATAAATTTTGAAGTGCATCTGTTTTTTCCAGTAAATGTTGATTACCACTTTAAAAAAAAAAAAACAAAAATTACAAAGATATAAATAAAACCACAAAAATTTTTTCTGACTTTTAAAAGATAAACCAAGCAATTAATGTCGGTTCTTAAAACATTACTTTCAAAAGTGTATGAATTTTTTTCATGATTAAGTTTCAGTGTTTAAAAAATCATATAAAAACTCGGAGATTTTGCAAAAATCGTAAAAGTTGGAATAATGATAAGGATGAGCAACTTGATGTGATTTTTGTGAAATGGCTAAAAATCTTACCTTCGTAATGCTATTCGTTGTTTATGCAATTTGCAAATATTCTCATTTGGCCAATCATGACAACAAGTGATATAATGCATCGCATAATCCATATACCAGAAATGTTCAGCCAATAAGCTTACGAAGAAAATAAATTCGTCAGTGCGCTTACTTACACCTGAAGATCATTTCTTAAAATATGAGTTTGTGAATACCACTTTTCTTAATCCAAGTGTCCTAAGAGAAAAAAATTGAAAAAAAAAAATAAAAATAAAAAATGTAGCCAAAAAAGATACAACACGACTCACAGTTAAGGTATCACAAATAAATGATTTGAAAACTTTGTGCTTTAAGCAATATAAATAAAAAACAAACCAATAATTTCGTGAACAGATTCAAAATCGAACATTGTTGCATCATCAGATTGTTTACCTTCAGCTAAATTTTTCATCATGTAATACGTATATTTTTTCACTGCCAGCTCCTGAAATATACAGATATCTGAATCAGTATAAAAGACAACGTAAAATGTAATAATTTCCAGTTTTTTCCAAGAAATGACCAAAAAATTACTCTTCGAGAATACGAGATAGTTTCGAGGGCAAATTATACGTCAAATTTACATGAAACTATACTTTAAATCACAATGTACTTACAGTAGGCCTGAGAGTTAACGAATGTCTATATAAATCCATCGTATCATAATGATTTTCTGCTTCTGCCAATGTTGCCTACAATAAATTATAAATAAAATAATATCAAATTGTTTCGCATTGATTTGATTTTGTTAATTCATGTCAGAATCCCTGCTATCACCGAAATATATCATCTGTTTCCAAAAATGATACGATGTTCAGAAACAAAATACTGATTGCCTCTGACACAACAATAGATTTAAAGCTTGTAAAAATTCCACAAAATACTTACTAAAATACACCAAATTTCTGCTGATTCGGGATTAATTTTCTGGCCCATATTAAGAGCCTGTCGTGCTAAATCATACTGCAATAATGAACACTTGAAATACAACATTATGCATATTATACATACATTAAAAAAAATATTTTAAACATAATGCGTCATTAAACGTTTTCTACTTCTACAAAATAATATGCAAGTTTTTCCTCTTCACTTCTCATTAACAGGTTTTCATATTCAAATTTAGAAATCTGAATTATACATACCTGATTGAACTTCAAATACAATAAACCAAGCAAAAACCAAGCAGTATCGTTTCTTATGTTCAACTGCAAAGCCCGTATAAGACAGTGCTGTATCGTTAAAGGATTCCCTGATAATCCAACTGCTTCCGAAAGATTTGTCCAATATATCGATTTTGTTGTTTTCGATAGGCAAAGTTTAATAGCACGTTTAAAACACTCGATAAGACTGCATATTATTATATTAATATACGTGTGGAAATTTTCATCATACGGTTATCCTTTAGCACTCATTTATCGATTTCAGATTCTAATCAAAGCGACCAAGTTAAGAATTATTCTATTAAAATCAGATAGTCGTAAAAAATAAGTGAAGTATCATACGAAAGCAAAAGTTAGATTATTTATGTCCATAATAGACAATAAATCAGAAACATACTGCATCTCAAATTAGTTCACTATTTTGCTTTTCTAAGTGCAATTATCACAGATTAGTTAAGATGGCAAGTAAATGAGAGTAAATATCAAAACAAAACTTACTTCCAATATCCCGAGTTATCTTCCGTAAGTTGGCATTTCCGCAGCAAGGCAATACCCAAATCATTCCAAGCACCAGCCCAGTTTGGATGTGTTTTTACTATGAAGCAATAGAAACGAATAGCTAATTCACTTGCATCCAGCACTGACTCAATTTTCCAGGTTTTAGGGAATTCGAAATGTTGGAAAGTATCAGCGTGATACCTGGATGCTAACAAAAGAGCATCAGAAGCAAGTTTGAAGGGTAATATTAATCCCGGATTCTGTCCAAAAACTTTTTCAACCAAGCCGAAAAATTTATTTAAGAGGTTAAACTGCAAGGAGTAGGCCGATTCTTGAGCTAATTTCAGAATGGAATCGGCATATAACAGATAGACACAATTTGTGTTACTTTGGCCACTTTCAACACGTCTTATCAATTCCAAACATTGTTCAATTGCTTCTTCCAACTGGCCAGTAACTTGGCACATTTGTATAAACTAAAAAAAATCAAGATTTCCAACGATGACCATGATTTTATCCCTATCTACCTAATTGCGTCAATGCTATTGCCTGTTAGTTAGCTTATTACTTTTCAAAAAACTGCAGATTGTAAAAATTTTTATTTCTTTAAAATTTAACGGCAATAAATAAGCACATAACAAAATTTCACATACTAGACTTCAATTCGCAGATCGACTGCAATTCGTTCCAGTCAAAAGAAAAGTTTATTTTTGTATCAAAAATAACAGAAGTATTTAGCAGAGGTGCTATCGATAAGAAGTCAAATTCACGTAAGCGGTTTAAAGTGTCAGCAAAATTTTCCGAGCTACTTAAAATTAGGAACGAATTTTGAAAAATAAGAGTGAAGAAAGAAAAAACTAATAAATTCATAAAGAAAACCTAGGAAATGATTTATTAGCAGTGGAAAACATTTTTTCTAACCTGAATTTGAGCAATTTCATTGTCTGATTCAAGATTTATTGCTTCCTTGAAAGCTTTGATAGCACTTTGGTAATTCCCACGCTTTTTATAAGCATCTCCTAGTGTAGTCCAGAACCTAGCATCTGTCTTATCAAGTGCAACAATGCATTGCATTTGATCAATTGCTGCATCAATCTACAAAATTTAACAGGATATCAGTAAACAAAGAAAAAAATTTTCAACCACAGAATTATTTAGAATAATAGATAGTTCCATTCATATTCCTCATAATTTCATGTTAATATTTGAACACCAAATATGCCAGAGTGGTCAGGTCATCGATTCTTCTGCTCATATAGAATTGCCTAGAGATCTCGATCAAAATTCATGATGAGGATTGCTTAATTGAGTATTTTAATCGATTATTTAGCCACCGTTTCTGCGGCCCATTTAATATTACGTAATTGAAACATTCGGTGAAAAAAGTGATTTAAACAAACAAAACTTACATTTCCACTTTGAAGCTCCAGTAGCGCCAACCTTTTTCGTGCCCAAAGATCTTTAGGTACAATTTTCGAATATTGCAGTAAATGTTTAAATAGTTCCTCATTGCGACCTTCCAAACTGAGCAGTTCGTCTAACAGCTTCACAACCTTTCAAAGAAAACAAAGTAATGATAGTTATTCATTAGATATTGAACATATATTCAGATCATTTTTTCTAATAGAAGAGAAACATTACTAACTCTATCTAGAAATATCCTACTTTATCTTCTTTAAATTAAATAAATAATATAAAAACTAAAAAGAGTTCCCTTAATTTTCACTGGGTTAGTTTTACCTTTGTATCTTGAGGACGAATTTTCGCTGCTCTTTCTAAACAAGCTATAGCCTTGATTCGGTTTTTTGTCTTCAAACTCAATCCCAAAAGAAAGAAAGCTTTGCTGCTGTATGGATTTATCTTCGCTGCCTACAAATGAAATTTAAATATGGAGTAATTGCTAATTTAAGCAAATAAATCTAATTTAAATAACAAAACAGTTCAAACACAATTCCAATAATTTAACATTTTAAATAAAGAAGTATAAAGAATGATACGACGTGTTAAAGTTTTGAAAGATTTTTTAAAATTACAGCCGGGTTAAATAACTTCATATTTATTTAAAAGCAGAAAGTTTGTAGGCCTGATTACATTCTATGATGAAGTGAAATGAAAACTTCATTGTCCTATAGGCTCCTGTATTTTGATATTTATTATCCTGTTGTAAAAAAAACGAGCCTTCACAAAAGCCGACGTAGAAAATGCATCTTCGGTATTCAATTTCAAAGAAATTTCGCCAAGAATCAATAACCATTTCCATGACTTCGGATTGGTTTTTGAAGCATTTTCAGCCAAAGACTTCGCTTCTGAAATAATCAATATTGAATTTATATATTAGTTGTTTTGGTAAACGTAAAGAAAGAAAAAAATAAAAAAAAACTATTGCGACCCTTCAAATATACAGAAATCCAAGGAAATCTTACCGAACACTTTACAATGGTGTAAAAAGGTAACTAAAAAGTGCTGATAAAAACCTCAAGTAAGTTACGTAGACATAACGAAACGAAAAATAACTAACAAAGTAAAGCCAATATGAAGACATAATCACTGAAGAAATAAAATTAAACTTGAACAAATGAAATCGTAGGCTCCTATTAGGAAGCAACTAAAATACGCTAACCATATCATTATCTTGAAAACTACTAGGTTAATTAGTTAATAGTATTACCAATTACTCTTATTCTAATCATCACCTTGTAAGGACGCTTTTGATTGAGAGTTCTTCAAAATCATAGCCTTCCAATACATCTTTTCAGACGGATCTTCATATTTCTCTCTTTGCATTATTTCTATTTTAGACACATCATCCATATCAGTATTTTCGGATATCATCTGAAAAAAATTGAAAATGATGTATATTTTGTTACTTAGCATACAAATTCGAAATTAGAATTGATTTTAAACTCATGAAAATCTCAAATTTCAAAACTTAAATTTAAACTTAAAATTTCTTAAACTCTCTGAAATTCGATCAAATTATTACCCCAAGCCGTACGTCCCGGGGTACTCGTTTACTGTCTGAACAATCAGTCAACAATAAATGTAATTGCGCCAACGCATTGTCGTCATGAATGCCGTACAGTGTTTCACATTTAATACAGAAAATTTCATCACTTAAAGCTCTTGTAATTGCGGGATGTATGTGTGGAATCGTTATATCCAAAAGAGACAATACTTGTTCATAGCGTTCTTGAAAAAGCAGTAGTGGAATGGCTAAACCAATATACGGCCTAAAAATACACTTTGGACTTGATGTAAAAATCAAAAAGAAAAAATTAGTTGGGACTGTCATGTTTTTGAAATCTCGAAGACTCACAATCGTTACAGCATCTCTGAAATAACAAAGCAAATAGAAAAAGTTAATCATATGTCTTACTCCTCTTCTTTTTCTTCTAACTAATGTAGCAAATAGAGCCAATTTACCATTTGCAGCTATTGTTTCTCAAATTTTCATCAATATTTTTGATCGACATTGACATTTCTCCCTTCTCAATATGTCCGAGCAGAAGTTCGAATTCTGTTTCTTTCCTTACTGTATTTTTCAACATATTGACAATATCGTTCGAAGGATCTGCTTGACGTAGGCCCAGGTAGAAGATAATAACGAAATATCGTAATAAATCAGTTAGCCATTCATCATCGGGTGGAATGTATGTAACACGACAACAGCTTAACACATTCCGTATTTCCTCCAGTGTCTATATATGACCATTATTGATTATTGTTGTAAAAATATAACACAAAATACAAAAATGTGAAAATATGAACGTTCTAAAATTGAATCCCAAAATGTTAGAAGGTTAACCTTTGCT